CACTCCACTAGATCCTAAATGCATATGCAATGAGTTAGAGCATCTAGTGGCACTTTGACAACCGTATTTCGATATGAGTTTCACTCCTCTTAATAGTATGGCTATTAATCCTAAACGTGATCACACTTGCTAAGTGTCTTGATCACTAAACTGAAAAGCTCCTATCAATTTCACCTTTGCCTTGAGCTTTTTGTTTTTCTCTTTCTTCTTTTTCAAATCCAAACTTGATCATCACCATGGCATCACCATTATCATGATCTTCACCATTCCTTCATCACTTGGAATAGTGCTACCTATCTCATGATCACTTAGATAAACTAGGTCAGCACTTAGGGTTTCATCAATTCACCAAAACCAAACTAGAGCTTTCAGAAGGGCGGGAGCAGGCCGGGCTAGGTAGAGAAAGCGCTAGTAGGCCAAAATGAAGAGGGAAGGGGAGAGAGTAAGGGCATGTTTATATGGGGCTTTGGGGTGGCCTTGCGCCCTCTAGCTGCAACCGGGCTTGTTTGATTCACTTAGCCTAGTTTCCAGCCTAGCTCGTAGTGTGCAAATTCCCCTCTCTCTCCTGCACCCGGGGAAATGCCCCTAGGGTTCATTTCTTCTAGGCTCGGCTTGCTCCGTCCTCGTGCAGGAGATTTTGGGGCGGTGGCGGCGACTCGCGCGGGCTCGTGCAAGAACCATGAAACTTTCATGCGTGCTTTTCCCCGGTGAAAACCATCGTCTTTATAAGCTGCCCTCCTCCCTTGCTGGCTGCTTCCCCTTCCTCTCACTCCCTTATCCCCATCTCTCCCTACTGCGTTCGCATTGAGTCACCGACGGTGTTGGTATTATGGTGGTGCAGCGCGGCGGTCTCCTTCCTCTCCGGGCTTCGTCTCTGTTCTCCTTGTTGGCATTCGCTTGATTGCGGTGCTGCTGGATCTCCTGCTAGGCTTTGTGGAGGCAGTCATCTTCCTCCTTCATCTTCTCTATCTTGTGGTGGTGCGAATGGTCTTGGTTCAGGTGGATCTCCTTTGTCTCGTACTAGATCTGCTACTTCTTCACCGTCGGCTCTTCTTCTTCTTCGCCTTGCGGTACTTCAACTCACCGTCGATTCTCCCAAGGTGAAATCAACCCCTATCCCCCATTGCTTTGATTCTAGGGTTTCCTCTTGCCCTCTTTGGTTTCAATTTCTATCTATGGAATGTTATTGTTGGTCGATGATGTTGGTCTTATTGCTAAGAATGGGTGTTTGGAGTAGCTTCATGTGTATACTGAATTGTTAGTAGTTTGATATGGTTGATGATGAATCTATCCAATGCACTAGAGGCATTTTTCTTATGTAGTCGTGTTGTTCTATCTTGCTGTGAATGCTTACACTTACATGTTGAGGCTACCATGGTTGTGGTGATGCTATCTTTTTAGTCACTAGACTTAGAAGGATTAGGGCCCAACAAGAGCTTGTTCCTTATGGTCCTAAGACTTTAGGTCAGTAGCATAGGCTAGGAACCCTCAAAATGATATATAACAACACTTATGTTGAGTGTCTGGTTATGTTGCGTATGACCATAGCTCTTTTTTTGCTCTATGCAATCTTTTTAGAGGTAGAGGCCTTGTTCTAGAAACTAGTGGGTGTTCTGTTGAGGAGCAAGTTGTAATGTTTCTCCATGTGGTTGGTAACAACTAGAGGTTTAGGGTAGTTCACCAGTCATTTAGGAGGTCCATTGAGACAGTTAGTAGAGTCTTCCACTAAGTTCTTTATGTTGTTGGTGAGCTTAGGACTAATATGATCAAGCCTCCTACCACTGCCACACATCCAAAAATTATGGGTAGCCAAAGATGGTACCCTTTTATGTAGGTACTTGTTAATCTTGTTTATCTGCCTTAGGTTCAACCAATTGTACATCTATGGACTTATCCCCTACTTAAAACATTTATAGGACTGTATTGGTGCCATTGATGGCACACATGTGTTGGCAAGGGTGTCTAGACACATACAACGGGCTTTCAGGGGTAGGAAACACAACCCCACATAAAATGTGATGGCTGCTGTGGACTTTGATCTAAAGTTCACTTATGTCCTAGCTGGCTAGGAGGGCTCTACCCATGATGCACTTATACTTGCTGATGCAATTGAGAGGAATGATGGGTTCACAGTTCCTGAAGATAACTAAATTGATTAGTCCATATACTATTGTCCTTAAACTGTCACACACCTTCAATGTAGTATATGTTTTGGTGCACTTGTAGGGAAGTTTTACCTGGTAGATGCTGGCTATGCATGTCGCACTAGTTTCCTCCCTCCCTATAGGGGGCGGTGAGGTACCACTTGTCTAAATGTGGGAGCCACAATTATCCTACCAATGGCAAGGAATTGTTCAACCTAAGGCACTCATCCCTTAGGGTTACACAATGGAGAGAGCTTTTTGGTGCACTCAAGAACAGATTTTGTATCCTAGACAACAAACCATTCCACACATACAAGACATAGGTGAAGCTAGTACTAGCCTATTACATCCTACATAATTGGATCCTTGGGTTGGCACTGCTGAAGTTGTCCTAGAAGAGGAGGGCTTTGTAGGCAGGCAGCCTAAGGCACATGAAAACTAGCCTGTGGGAGACATGTTGTCCCTAGGATTCCACTGGCATGTCTAATAGGAGGGATGACATTTGCAATGCCATGTGGGCTACTAGGGGTACTGCTAGGATTTGATTCATGCTTTCCATTCATGTATGATTTCAGTTTGTAGACCCTAGATATGGAACTCATGTAGTGTACTGATCATGTATAATAAGTACTAGATATGACTGAGACCAACCTGCTATAATGTTTATGTTGTTTATGTTATCATGGAGCTGTTGCTCCTTATTCATGTTCTATGTGTTGTTTATCTTCTATCTGTTGTTGATACTTGGCTTCATGGCATGGATGGTGACCTTATTAGGATGGCTAGATTTGTGGTAGCTACTGACATGGCTGGTGTAGCTGGTGCTCAGTCAGCTGGGGTGCTACTGCACCTGAGGTGGTTGAAAGGTCCTAATGGCTAGAGGGGGGTGAATAGCCTATTAAAAATTTCTACAACAACACTTAGCAAACTGGTTAAACAAATATGAGGCGAAGCGAGCGTTGCACTAGCCTACTAAAAATGCAAGCCACCTACCACAATTCTAGTATCTATAGTCTCTATCTACACAATGGCTATGTCACTACACTAAGTTGGTGTGCTCTCAAATGCTAACTAAAGAGTCACACTAATCAAACTAACAAGCTCTCACGACTAGCTACACTAAAGAGCTTGATAATTAGTTTGTGGTAATATAAAGAGAGAGAGAGAGCAAGATGATTATACTGCCGTGTCGAGGAATGAACCAATCAATCATAAGAATGAATACCAATAAAGACCAATCACCTCGGAATCAAATGATGATACAATGATTTTTTACCGAGGTTCACTTGCTTGCTGGCAAGCTAGTCCTCGTTGTGATGATTCACTCATTTGGAGGTTCACGCGCTAATTGGCATCACACGCCTAACCCTCAATAAGGTGCCGCACAACCAACACAAGATGAGGATCACACAAGCCACGAGCAATTTACTAGAGTACCTTTTGGCTCTCCACCGGGGAAAGGTCAAGAACCCCTCACAATCCCCATGATCGGAGCCAGAGACAATCACCAACGTCCACTCGACAATCCTCGCTACTCCAAGCCATCTAGGTGGTGGCAACCACCAAGAGTAACAAGCGAATCCCGCAGTGAAACACGAACACGAAGTGCCTCTAGATGCAAACACTCAAGCAATGCACTTGGATTCTCTCCCAATCTCACAAAGATGATGAATCAATGATGGAGATGAGTGGGAGGGCTTTGGCTAAGCTCACAAGGTTGCTATGTCAATGCAAATGGCCAAGAGAGTGAGCTAGAGCCGGCCAAATGATACTTATAAACACCCCAAACAATAGAGCCGTTGGCTCAATTATTGGGCTGACTGCGGGACGACTGGACACGTAGGTCGTGTGCACCGGATACGTCTGGTGTGGCAACCAGACACGTCCGGTCGCTGCGTCTAGTCACTGCTTGACCGCCACGTGTCCCATACAAATGAAGTAGCCGTTGCCGCCCAACGGCCCTCTCTGACATGCTCTGACGCGACGCATCGGACGCACTGCAGCGAAGCAATCGGACGCAGGTGGGGCAGCATCCGGTCCTCTCTGGACCAACACCCGTGCCCCACGTCACCAAGACCTGATGCTAAACAGTGATTGCTCAGCGTCCAGTCACTGCTATGAGCCAGAGTCCGGTCACCTCGGCAACTCTGCCCACGCCTAGCCAGAATACCGGATGCATCCGGTATTGATATCGGATGCGTCTGGTCACGTCAGGAACACTGCCGCTGAGACAGTATTGGACACGTCCAGTATGCATGTCGGACGCGTTCGGTCACCCCATGACCAATGCATTCAACTCCTTTTCAACTCTATCTTCTTTACCCTTGCTCAAATGTGCCAACCACCAAGTGTATCACCTTGTGCACATGTGTTAGCATATTTTCACAAATGTTTTCAAGGGTGTTAGCACTCCACTAGATCCTAAATGCATATGCAATGAGTTAGAGCATCTAGTGGCACTTTGATAACAGCATTTTGATACGAGTTCCACCCCTCTTAATAGTACGACTATCGATCCTAAATGTGATCACACTTGCTAAGTGTCTTGATCACTTAAACCGAAAAGCTTCTATCAATTTCACCTTTGCCTTGAGCTTTTTGTCTTTCTCTTTCTTCTTTTCCAAGTCCAAGCACTTGATCATCACCATGGCATCACCATCATCATGTCACGATCTTCATTTGCTTCACCACTTGGAGTAGTGCTACCTATCTCATAATCACTTTGATGAACTAGGTTAGCACTTAGGGTTTCATCAATTTACCAAAACCAAACTAGAGCTTTCAGTGGTTGATGTGGGGGTTGATGCACCTGAGGTAGTGCCTACCCAAGGGGGTGCTAGTGGTGTTAGGCCTCCCATGAGGTGGAATAACAACACCTTAGGGTTTGTTCTTAGGAGGATGTCCCAGATAGTGTCTGATGGTAGTAGGACTGGCAAGTGCATCAAGGATAAGGATGTAAACTCTGTGGCAAAGGCTCTTAGGGAGTACAGTGGTGAAGCTGTGAGCCCTACTCAAGTGTACAATCACTTGAGGAAGTGGAGGCAGAAGTGGGCTAGGGTGTGCAAGCTGAAGGACCTTAAATGGTGCACTGTTTGATCATGAGACCAATGCCATAATGCTAGAACCTGAGCACTACCTTGGGCACTGCAAGGTAGAAAACTAAGTTAGGTACACTTGTAGTCATAGTTTTCTCATGTTCCTTGTTTATTTAATTCAGTACACTGACTGTAGGGCCACCCTAAGGATGCTGAGTTCCTCAACACACCTATTAGGTTCTACACTGAGATGGAAAACATCTTTAGTAGTGCTATGGCTACTGGTAGGTATGCCCTAGGGTCTAGTGAGCCACTTGGGGTCCACCAAGCTGACAGTGTGGCTGCTAACATAGAGGGACATGGTTTCATTAGTGTTGCTGATGTCAAAACCAGCACTATGGTTGGTGAGGGTAGCAAGGCATCTGAACTACTCACTTCCATAGCTGGGCCAAAGAGGAAGAGGGCAAACTTCAGTGGGGATGAGATGCTTATGATGACTGACACGACTTATGTTGTCAACAATGTGGCCAATACACTTAGAGAGACTAGGCCTACACATGTGGATCCTGCCCTCTATCTTGCAGTCATGGAGATGCAGGGCTTCACTGAAGAAGCTCTCATTGTTGCCTACACTTACCTGCTGGACAACAAGGCCCTTGGCAGGGGCTTTGTGAACATGGTGGATAGCCATAGGGATATTTGGCTAAGGAACTACCTAGCCAAGAACTACTACATGTAGGCCAGTCCATGTAGGACAACAAGGCATAGAGGGGGATGGTAGTTGAGATGTATAGTTCTTCCACCTCCCTCACCCACTCTCTTCTCTTTTGGGTTCCATTTTGGTGCAGCTCCTGTGAAGGTAAATGACTAACCATGTCCTTTTGGGTATGCTTAGTATGACCAAGTGCAACTTGGTAGTGGTATTTGTGCCTACTTGCTGTGGGTTGAACTGTTATTTAGAGACCATTATGTTGTATTAACTAGTAACCTCTGTTGGTTACTCCTATTGCTAGTTTCTTTGTCACTTTATTTTTTTTTACCGAAAAGACTGTGGGGGAGATCCCCACAGTGAGCAACTTTTTAATTAATTTAAAACAGGAGAGAGGGTCTTACATACAAATCTAGCTAAAAGCATCAAGCCAGACACAGAAGGTTGACCTAAGGTCATCCTTAAAATGAACAGACTGAAGTTTACATTGGTTCTTAAAATTCGATAACCAAATACTAGGGGTTGGGTCTCTTCTCTGGAAGATTTTGTCATTGCGCACTTTCCATAGCTCCCAAGCTCCTATTAGAGTTGCTTCTATGAAGAAAGGTATGTTGTGGGTGCCTCAAGCTTGGGTGTACCTGTCCAGTAGAGGTAGTGATGTGTCCCAGTTGATATGTATAGTCGCCCAACATTCTTTTGCAAACGTGCATTCAAAGAACAAATGGTCGATGGTCTCCTCTTCTCCACTGTCACACATGACACATATATCAGTGCCCTGGACGTCGAGATGTCTTCTACACAGCATAGTCTTAGTGTTGAGGCGATCTACCAGAACCAACCAAGCAAAGAATTTGACACACGGGGTGCATCTAGACTTCCAAATGATCTTGAAGATCGGATGTGTATCCATATTCTTGAATACATGAGAATAGAAACTTCGTGAGGTATATGTGTTGCCCCAAACAGGAATCCATCGATCCACTGCATCTTCATCATATGGTATATCTTGCAACTGAGCTTGAAGAGTTTCAAGCTCTTCAGAAGCCTATTGTGATAGAGGTAGTAGGAACAAGCTGTCAAGATCAATGGCCTCCATGATTTCTAGTACCGAAGCACCCCTATTTCTGGCAAAAGAGGCCAATCTTGGATATGTTTGAGCTAGCACCAAATCTGTCCATAGATCATCCTAGAAGCAGACGGAGGAGCCATTGCCTAATTCACACTTGACAACACCTCTAAAAATGATGTTGAGTCTGAGCACATCCTTCCACCAGAAGGAGCCCGATTCTCTAGCAACATGTGGTACTTTGGTGGAGTAGTATTTATTCCAAATCAAATGCACCCAGGGGATGTCAGCCTTGTTATAGAACTCACTTAGGCGTTTCATGAGCAGGGTGTCATTTTGCAGTCTTAGGTTCAAAACACCTAGTCCAACTTTCTCCTTTGGTTTCATAACTATTTCCCAAGCAACCAGATTACCACCCTTTTTGCGTTCAGCATCACTGCCTCTCCATAGGCACTGCTTCCTTGTTCGGTCAATGTTGTCGATCACCCATTTGGCAGCTTGATAGTGCACATTGCATAGGTGGTAATGGGTGTGATCGTAGAGTTGACCATTTCTAGTCTACCTGTGTAGGACAGCCAAGTGGAGCATGCTAAGAGCCTTCTTTCCACTCTATCCATCATTGGGGTTAGGTCTTCAAATTTTGGCTTGGTTGTGCCCATGGGTAGCCCCAAATAGGTGAATGGCATTGAGCCCACATCACATCCAAACATAGCAGCAAGATGAGACAACTTCTCTTGAGTAATATGGATAGGGTACATATGTGACTTTCTATAATTCACATGGAGACCTATTGAGATTGCAAAGTTGTGCAAAAGGGCCTTGAGGAAGAAGAGTTGTATGGCATCAGCTTGTAGTAGCAGTAGCGTGTCATCCGCATATTGCACTATAGGGAAATCTGCCATAGGTTGGGGAATTAGTGTTGTGAGTAGATCCATGGATGCAACCCGGTTAACCAAAATTTGCAGAAGCTCAACCGCAAGCACGAAGAGGAGAGGTGATAATGGGTCCCCCTGTCGGACACCTCTCTTGCATTTGAAAAATTTCCCAGGAACACCATTCAAAAACACTGCCGAGGAGCCAAAAGAGAGGATTGTTTGTACCCAAGTCAACCATCTTTCTAGAAATCCCAAATGCCTCATAAATTGGATGATGGTAGAGTGTTCCACTGTGTCAAACACTTTCTCGAAATCTAACTTGAGTATGATTATCTCCCGTTTTGACTGGTGGCACTGATGGATATACTCATAACTCCATGCTAAACAATCATGTATCGTACGTGACCAAATGAAACCATATTGGTTGGGATGGACAATTCGTAGTATGACTACTTGCAATCTCTCAGCTAAGATTTTAGTGATCACCTTCAATGAAATGTTCATAAGAGATATAGGCCAAAAATCATTTACTGTCTCTAGGCTGTTCTTTTTTGGCACTAGGGTGATATAAGAGGTGTTGATGCACTGAAGGTTGACCAGACCTGAGTAGAAATCAGAGCATAGTGAGTAGAAGTCACCTTTGATAAACTGCCAGCACTTCTTTAGGAAAGACCGTTGAAACCGTTAGGTCTAGGCGCTTTGTCATTTGGCATATGCTTGACCACTGAGTCAACTTCATCATGCGAGATTGGGCTCACCAAGGCATCTAGGCCATCCACCTGTGTGATCATGCTGGTGAGGTCAAAAAGCATGGTAGGAGAGGATGTGGCACCCATACGGTTTCTGAAAGCAGTCCATAGCAACCCTGTTTTACTCTCATGATCCTGAATCCAAACTCCATGCTCATTCATAATCTAGGAAATGGCATTTTCCTATATGAAATAGTTGCCATACCATGGAAGAATTTTGTGCATTCATCCCCAAGTTTAATCCTGTTGACTATGAAATGTTTCTTCCAATACAAATTTTTATACCGTAGCCACTTCTGGAGTTGTCGCTTGACTGCACATCTGAGGTTAGCTTCTGAATTATAGAGCTGACGTCTATCCTCTAGGGCATCAATGAAGCAGATAACCTGGTTGCAGTTACTAATCAACAGACCCAAATTTGATAGATGTTTACTCCAGTGTTTCAAACTAGCTCTGAGTGCTTTGAACTTAGAGGAAATATTCCGGGCTGCATCATTGAGGGTGGGTGTAATATTCCAGCAGTCTAACACTGTGTCGAGGAAATCATCTTGCTCTACCCAGAAATTCTCAAAACAGAACAGATTCGCTCTCGAAATGTTGGTACTGATATTGATCTTGTAGGGGATGTGATTTGAAGTGATCTTTGCCATGGGGAGCACTTCAGTATTGGGGAAATCAATTGTCCAATTGGGGGATGTAAAAAACCAATCAAGTTGCTCTAAAAGAGGTTTGGACTGCATGTTACTCCATGTAAAGGCACGTCCTTTTAAAGGCAGTTCAACTAAGCCTAGGTGACCAATGGCATCATCGAAGATGAGAGTATCTGCAAGGTTTCCTCCTGGCCTGTTGCGGTTGCTAAGAGATCTATAGAAATTGAAATCACCCAAGAATATCCAATTCACAGAATCATCAATGTCATGACCACGAAACCAATTAACAAATTCCAAGCGAGTAGGCTCATCACATGGGCCATGTACTGTGGTTAGCTTCCAAGCATCATTATTATGTACAGAGGTGAAATTCACAGTCATGCCAAAACGTTGCTTATCAAGTACTGTCCCTGAGAAGACAGCACTATTCCAAAGTACCAGAATACCCCCCGAGGCTCCCAACAAGGGGATGAAATCAAAGCAATCAAAGCACCGAGGAGCAAAGTTTCTGATATAGGAAGCATCAAATAACTCACGCTTTGTCTCCTGAAGACATATTATAGAGCTGGCGCTTTCTTCAATCTTATCATGAACATCGTCCCACTTCTCTGTTGCATTGATACCGCGTACATTCCAACATAAGATGTGCCAATTATGTGTATTCATTGGGTAACCAGAAGTGAAATAAAATGAAGCCAGATATGGCTAGCACATCCAGGCAGAACAAAGCATGGAAGAGGAGATAGATAAATGACATCCATAAACTAACATAGAGGTTTCTAAAACACCTAAACATCTCTAGATGGGAGTGAACAAGGATAGGGTTCAACGGTTGGATTACCCCACAGCACACAAGAAAGTTTGAACTTAACCAAACAATAGTACGATAAGAGATGAAGCAAAAGACTGTGGGCTCTTTAGAAGAGCAAAAGGGATCATGCAGTGGTGTCATCATTGACAACCTGATCATTGGGCGCCTGCATCAGCACGTCTTTAGTGAGCTCGCTAGGAGCAACACCATAGTTGATACCCCATTCCTGTAGCACTGAGATAGGAACAGGACCAGCCTGGCCAGTAGCTTCATCAATCATCACAACAGAGGCCTTGCGTTTCTTGGATGGCACATTGGCGAGTCTGACAGTGTAGTAACCTTCTTTGTTGGAACATCTGTGGCTGCGTCACACATTGGATTGGGTCAAGAGAGTGCTCATACTGCTTGTTGATACCAGTGTTGGGAGAGCCACAACAGACTTATTCTTTTGGCGCCTGGCGACTGATGGGCTAGGCCTATTCTCCTCCATTTGAAATTCAAAACTAGGCAGGCTAGAATCAGATGGGCCACCTAGTATGATTACAGGAGTAGCAGGAGTCTCTTTGGCTGAAGACTTGGCAATGCGCCTACTTTGAACTATCTTTGGCCAGAGCTGTAGAGCAATGACATCATGAATGGGCTTCCAAGGTACAATTTCTAAACCGGATGAGAAAGACAGGCCAAAGTCTGGGCTGACAATCGGCCCATCACTCCCCTCACCAACTTATTCTTTAGTTGCTTCCTCCTTGTGCTGTAAGTTCTCTGCTAGAACTTGGAGCATCACAGCACGAACCACTGGTTTCCAGGGAACCAAATCCATTCCATTAGGCACAAAAACCTCAACTGCCTCCTGTGCATTAAAAATATTCTTGTCAATCA